CACACATACACACACACACATTTCCTTTATGAGTTCTGCTGTCTAAGTCAAAGGAAACCTTCAAAGGGACAGAAAGCAAGAAAGAAAAGGGGGGGGGGCAGTCGATCCTTTAGCGAGATGAGATTCGGATATGAAAGCACTGACGTATATCCCTTACTGCCCTCCCCACACATACACTTTACTGTGTTCTCTTAATCAGCTCAAGAGTCTTTTATCTCTTAAAATTAGGGAGGAAAAAAAGGAAGGAGAGTAGTCAAAAATGTGTAAGAAGGGACTCCAGAGAGGTGGATGCTAGCGACATGGTAGCTCAGTGCAAATCTCGCCAACCCATTAAGGTCACTTTTGCGTACAGAGGCGAGGGGACGCGAATCCCGGGTAAAGGGAAGCTTGGCGCGGGGGGGGACCCTGGCGTTAGTTTCAGTGGATCCCCAGTGAAGGATGAGAACGTCCTCTTTTAAACTCAAGGTATTCGGAGGTGTTCCGGATTGCGGATGCCTTCGCTGAGTTCTTTGTAATCCATCGTGCATAGAACTATTTCAGGGGCTTAAAGATGCGGTTTGGTCGTGGCTCTGACATGATCAATGAGGAGAAGTGGACGCTGGTTACTCTCGGGGAAGCTGCTAAGTGTCACCGTGCATACAATTAGGACACGGATGTGCTTAATAGCGAGGTAGTGAAGTCCATGATCAAAGAGAACATGCCCTTTTCCTTCTCCATGCTCAAAGCTCCGAGACAATTGGTGATTTAAGAGCGGCTGCCGGCTGCTTTGATGCATTATCTCAGATTTTTTTTTATTTTCTCTTCTGAAAAGTATTCTTAAGGTTCTCACCCATAGCATTCCCAGCAGTGGTTTAAAATAGCCCAAGTGTTGTGGTCCTCCGCTTCTCTGTGGAAATGGGAGACCTTCTTGGTGAACTGTTAAGTGAAGAGGTTATGAAGGCAAGGGGGGTGGGGGGCGGCTGGGTACAGGTGAGGCGGGAAACCTTGTAAAATGGTGCTTCTGTTCTCTTAAATCAGGCCCATGAAAATGATCTGACAGCCATTTTATGTATATTTATGGATTGGTTTTGAAGGGGGGGGGCGAGTGGAGAAGAACATGAAGATGAAGACGTTCTCTAACCTGCCCTTATCTTGTAAGAGGCAGCGTGCCCTTGTTTGACTCATTAGAATGTGAAATCCACCATTAAAATAGAAATACATATCAGATTTTAATCCAGTGTGTGATTGCTCTGTAAGGGAGGGGGAGATTACCATTCATACATTCTCCTCCTTAAATTCAGAGAAATACTCTTAGGGGAGAGAGAGAGAGTCTTTCTGAGTGATCCTTTAAATTTGTGGTCATACTCTGTTTCCTTCTTTTCCTCTCTCCCTTGCAGGAGGTAAAATGCAAGCTTGTTGCCCCCCAGTAACTTTGGAACAAGATCTCCAGAGAAAAATGCATAGCTGGATGCTGCAGACTCTAGCATTTGCTGTAACAGCTCTCGTCCTTTCGTGTGCAGAAACCATCGATTATTATGGGGAAATCTGTGACAGTGCATGTCCTTGTGAGGAAAAGGACAGCATTTTAACTGTGAGCTGTGAGAACCGAGGGATCATCAGCCTCTCTGAGATTAATCCTCCCCGTTTCCCCATCTACCACCTCTTGTTATCCGGGAACCTCCTGAACCGTCTTTATCCCAACGAGTTTGTCAATTACACTGGGGCTTCAATTTTGCATCTGGGTAGCAATGTTATCCAGGACATTGAGACAGGGGCTTTCCATGGGCTGCGGGGTTTGAGGAGATTGCATCTGAACAATAATAAACTGGAACTTCTTCGGGATGACACTTTTCTTGGCTTGGAGAACTTAGAGTACCTACAGGTCGATTACAATTACATCAGTGTCATCGAACCCAACACTTTTGGGAAACTGCATCTGTTGCAGGTGCTTATCCTCAATGACAATCTCTTGTCCAGTTTACCCAACAACCTTTTCCGTTTTGTGCCCTTAACGCATTTGGACCTGCGGGGGAACCGGCTGAAACTCCTGCCCTACGTGGGGCTGTTACAGCACATGGATAAAGTGGTGGAATTACAGCTGGAGGAGAATCCCTGGAATTGTTCCTGTGAACTCATCTCTCTCAAGGATTGGTTGGACAGCATCTCTTACTCGGCCCTGGTGGGGGATGTGGTTTGTGAGACCCCCTTCCGCTTGCATGGCCGAGACCTGGATGAGGTGTCCAAACAGGAACTTTGCCCACGGAAACTCATTTCGGACTATGAGATGAGACCACAGACGCCTTTGAGCACCACGGGATATTTACACACCACCCCTGCTTCGGTGAACTCTGTGGCCACCTCTTCCTCTGCTGTTTACAAACCCCCCTTGAAGCCTCCCAAGGGGACCCGCCAGCCCAATAAGCCCAGGGTGCGCCCCACCTCCAGGCAGCCATCCAAGGACTTGGGCTACAGCAACTATGGCCCCAGCATCGCGTACCAGACCAAATCGCCGGTGCCTTTGGAGTGTCCCACCGCGTGCACTTGCAATCTGCAGATCTCGGATCTAGGCCTCAACGTCAACTGCCAGGAACGCAAGATCGAGAGCCTCGCCGAGCTCCAGCCCAAACCCTACAACCCCAAGAAGATGTATCTGACGGAGAACTACATCGCCGTGGTGCGCCGAACCGACTTCCTGGAGGCCACGGGCCTTGACCTCTTGCATCTGGGCAACAACCGCATCTCGGTGATTCAGGACCGCGCCTTCGGGGACCTCACCAACCTGAGGCGTCTGTACCTGAATGGTAACCGGATCGAGAGGCTGAGCCCGGAGCTCTTCTACGGCCTGCAGAGCCTGCAGTATCTCTTCCTCCAGTACAATCTCATCCGAGAGATCCAGGCCGGGACCTTCGAGCCGGTCCCCAACCTCCAGCTGCTCTTCCTGAACAACAACCTCCTCCAGGCCATGCCCTCGGGTGTCTTCTCCGGCCTGACCCTCCTCCGGCTCAACCTGCGGAGCAACCACTTCGCCTCCCTGCCCGTCAGCGGGGTCCTGGACCAGCTCAAGGCGCTCATCCAGATCGACCTGCATGACAACCCGTGGGATTGCACGTGCGACGTGGTGGGCATGAAGCTGTGGGTGGAGCAGCTCAAGGTGGGCGTCCTGGTGGACGAGGTCATCTGCAAGGCCCCCAAGAAGTTCGCCGAGACGGACATGCGCGCCATCAAGTCGGAGGCGCTGTGCCCGGACTACTCGGACGTGGTGGTGTCCACGCCCACGCCCTCGGCCGGCCAGCTCCCCGCCAGGACCAGTGCGGCGGTGACCCCCGGTGTCCGCCTCAACAGCACCGGGGTCCCCGCGGGCCTGGGCGCGGGCGCGGGCGCCTCCTCCGTGCCGCTGTCCGTGCTCATCCTGAGCCTGCTGCTCGTCTTCATCATGTCCGTGTTCGTGGCCGCCGGCCTCTTCGTGCTGGTCATGAAGCGCAGGAAGAAGGGCCCGAGCGACCCCACCAGCACCAACACCTCGGACGTGAGCTCGTTCAACATGCAGTACAGCGTGTACGGCGCCGGCGGCCCCGGGGGCCACCCCCACGCGCACCACCGCGGGTCCGCGCTGCCCAAGGTGAAGACGCCCGCGGGCCACGTGTACGAGTACATCCCGCACCCCCTGGGCCACATGTGCAAGAACCCCATCTACCGCTCCCGGGAGGGCAACGCGGTGGAGGATTACAAAGACCTGCACGAGCTCAAGGTCACCTACGGCGCCAACCACCACCTGCAGCAGCCGCCGCCCGCGCAGCCGCCTGCGCCCCCCGCGCAGCAGCCCCCGCAGCTGCAGCTGCCACCGGGGGACGACGAGCGCCGCGAGGGCCACCACCTGCGGAGCCCCGCCTACAGCGTCAGCACCATCGAGCCCCGGGAGGACCTGCTGGCGCCGGTGCAGGACGCGGACCGCTTTTACAGGGGCATTTTGGAACCAGACAAACACTGCGCCCCCAGCCCCGCGGGCAACAGCCTGCCGGAGTATCCCAAGTTCCCCTGCAGCCCCGCTGCCTACACCTTCTCCCCCAACTACGACTTGCGGCGCCCCCACCAGTACTTGCACCCCGGAGCTGGGGAGGGCCGGCTGCGGGAACCGGTGCTCTACAGCGCGCCCAGCGCCGTCTTTGTAGAACCCACCCGGAACGAGTATCTGGAGCTAAAAGCAAAACTCAACGTTGAGCCGGACTACCTCGAAGTGCTGGAAAAACAGACCACATTTAGCCAGTTCTGAGACCCGAGACGCTGCTGGAACTTTTGCATTGCAAGCAAGCAAGCAGACACACGGTGAACACGACTGGCTTGTTTCCACGTTTAGGGTGAAGTGCCTTGGCACGGGATTCTCAGCTTCAGCGGAAGACACCGAAAGGGTGTGCGATTTCCTTTACATTTCACACCTGGGAAACACTTGTGTTAACTGGGCACCTCGCTTTCTCTCCTGGCCTGTGGGGGAGGAAGGGGGAGAGCTGGTCGCTTTGGCTGTGGGTGACTTGCTCAAGGTCCCATGCTGTTTGCAGAGGTTGGAAGTGTTGGGGGTGGTGAGAGATGGCCCTGCATAGATTCTCCTCTTGCTCTTTGGCTTCCTGGCTCGGTGCCCTCGGTGCCCTCCTCCCTTCCCCCTCTTTAAGCTAAGGTGGGTCTCCGTGGCTTTTTTTGGAGAGATTAGCACATCCCAATTGAATCAGAAAGTTCTCCCCCTTCCTTTGTCCCTCCCTCATTTCTCCTTTTTTTTTTTAAAGGATGTGTTTATATGCATTCTGGACGTTTGAATTAAATAACAAAAGTATTGTGATCTAGACAAGATCGCCATAGATGTGGACAAATCATTAAAATTGCAGAGCTATATGATCCATAATTGATTAGTCAAAAATAACTTATTGATAAAATATACGAATATTTGATTGTAGCACCTATTTTTATATGCACCTTTAGCATTTCTCCTTCTTTCACTATTTACGCTTTATTTTTCATGGAATTGTCACACTATACTACGAACTGTATTTCCAAAACAAGTGATACCAGAAAAGCATTTTCAATCATAAAAAAAAAAGTGGAGAAATTTTTAGCAAGGGTTTAAACCAATGCAACCCACCCAATTGGGCCTGTATTATTTTTTTATTTAAAGAGGTTGAATCCCAATCTAAGAAAATATTTTAGGGCAATTAATTGGGCCACTTGAGTGAGAATCATGTGCAAGTGTTTGGTTTTCTTAGAGAAGAGTTAAAAGTATTTTTATTAGTCAACCAAAAGTATGTATTGATTTGACTACTATTGTAGCCGATTTCTGATTGTTTAACCAAACCCAGTCACGTTTGTACAGATCCAAGTATATGAGCACCTTGTAAGATCAAACAAGGGACTGTACAAATCTCAATATGATGTCTCTGTTCCTTTGGGCAGCAAGCAATGGTGATAACCACAGACAGGATTTCTGTAAGATGGGGCTACTGTTGTTAACAGTATCATATGTATCCCAGCACATGTAATTTTTTAAATAGTTTCTGAATAAACACTTGATAACTATGTCAACTCTGAGGGATTGAAGTAATGATTACTTGAAGTACAAACTATTTGAATACGTGTGATTGACTGAATCTCTGATATTAACAATTAAGAATGTGTAGCTAACTTTTATTCTTAACAGAAGAATTTCTCCCCCTTAATTATTAGCACTGAAATGGATATAATCTGTGCTTTTCCTGGTGCAGGAAAGTATAAATTTCTAAATGTATCACTTAATGTGTTTATTAATGATAATTCGGTTGTATACTTTGTTTCTTTGCTGAAGTTTTCAACTAAAAAGGTGGAGCATGGTAAGTAATATATTGCATACTCATTTTTCTTTTAATATAATACATTTTCCTCATGTAACTGTTATTTATCCATTCTGCAAGTTTCCATATTTAACTTGTGTAAAACTGTTTTCAACAATTTTAAGACAACTACTTTACCTCCAGTTGATCCTGAATGTTTTCAAAATTGGGTATAAACTGTACATCTCTGCATAAGATTTGTAGTGTATTAAACCATTAATTGGTGTTTCAGGCTATAAAGGTTTGTTTAATCAATCTGAAGTTGAAAAAGCCATGTGCTTTATCGCAGTTGGTGAATTTTTGCATAGTCTTACTTGGATTGTGTACAATATTAAGGGCTGTTCATGAACTTTATGTTTAAGAAGCACTTTCCATGGCATTCTGCCACAAAGAGGCAGCATCCACCCATGAGTAAATTGACAGTACCTGCTTAAGTTCAAATCAAATAGGTGGTAACATTTTCCCTGAGGAATTTATGGGGGGGGAGGGGAAGAATGCTACATTTACTAAATCCAGTATTTTATTTGCATCCTTTGTAACATTTTCCCTTCTGGTTACTTTTCATTTCTATTTTACAAAGAGGAAAGGAGTAATCCTAATAATACCAAGATAGGATCATGGGGGGAAAATGTGTCTCTTATGCATCATCTACCTCTTCCATTTTAGACACAGAATTAGAAATGAAAACAAATACAGACATTTGACTTCCTAGTTGGGATTATTAATTTTTTTTTCACAGTGACTAAGTTTTTCTTCTACAATATTAAAGTCACTATATGTAGATATTACACTTATGTAAATGATAAAATATTAATGCAAAGTGGAATTTCCCATGTAATTAAGCTTTCATAATTCACACACAAAAGAATAAGAGAGAGAATTATAAGAAATTAGAGACTAATGTCTAGATACTAGGATTTGCTTCCAAAGAAAATGATGCCTTTTTCTAAAGATTCATGAAGGAATGTTATTTCAAAACAGCACTCTCTCCCATAATCTTGTCTCTTTTGGTGATTCATTGGTATCTTATTCTTTCTAAGGGCGCTAGCATTTTACTCTTGGTCTGAAAAAACTTCACTATGATTTGTTAAAAAGCTATGTCTAATGTTTAATTTACATTTTTCAGCTGTTAGGATTACAAATCAACTCTGAGACTCCAATAAACATGATGAAAACCACAAAATGTCAAAACTGCAAAACTGTATAGACTTAAGAATAAATTATTACCTTCTTATACATGGTTTCCTCCCAGTATGTTAACATAGACAATAGAAGATAAGTTTTTCATTTTTAATTTTTGGTATTTGAGATTGTTAACCATGAAATAATTATAATAAAAAACTCAGGATTATGAGTAGATGAAAAAGTCCTGAAAACTTCCTTGTAGAATTTTAGAGAACTAAAGTTTTCTCCCACTATCCCATAAAAAAAAAAAAAACAAAACACCACAACCCAACAACAAAACAACCCAGCCTCTTTCTCTGAAACTTGTAGTGGAAATTATCATGAAGGTAAGACTAATTACCAACTATTCACTATGATAATCTTTTTTAGCATTCCCTGGCCACTGTCATAAAAACTCATCCTAAACTATACTAAAGAGCATATAAAATCTAAAATAACACTTGATAGATAGTGTTCACAGACTCAGTTCAGCTATAAGATGCTGATGTGCTGAGTGTGGTTCTTGGGGGCGGAGCCTCGTGACACCTCTCTGCAATCTCCAGTTTTTCAGTAATCACACCGGAAAAACAAACGAGGAGTTGATTTTATTTTTTTTTCCCCTCTAGCAGAAGTGAAAATAGTTGGATAAATTTCAGTTAGCAAAAAACAAGCTTCTTCCATAAAAATGAAATGGTTTCAAACAAACTTTGCAAAAGGAAGGAATATCTGTAGAGGTTATGTTTCAGGCACCAATTAAAATTTGAGTACAAAGTAAATGTACTCTTTGTGCTTTTTATATTCCATATACAATATAATCTCATACAAATATAGTTCCAGGTAGATATTGCAAAATATTTTAGATATGATTGTAGTGTAAATATTAAAATCAATCCAGAAAAAAATATCATCTATGAAAATTCAGGTAATTTATACATTAACAGGTAAAACCATATAAGGCTAAAATGATTTATTGCACTTATGAGTTGAACTACTATGTAATAAAATATCATACATGAAATATTTAATCAGGATTATAACCTCTCTCTATATATATATACACACATGTATGTATGTATATATGTATGTATATATGAACGAGGGTGTTTTTGGACAAATGTCCTTGTTACATTACTGAACTCACCACTGTCCCTTCAGAGCTGATAGTGTTTAATGAAAATAACTACCCAGGAGGAAGAATAATGTCAATTTTCTGTTCTTACATCTCATTGATGGCCAAACTTTTCACTTCTGCACTCAATTTTATTCTCTCTCACTACTCTTTCCATCGCCCTCCCTCTTTCCTGCTCTCTTCTCATTCTTTACATTATTTTTCAATGTGGCAAGAGAGTGAGAATGATTTGTTTGAAATGCTAAAAATTACTTCTCTGTTTCATAAGCTACATAAATTGTTCCCCAGATTATATAGTTTCAGATTAATAAAAATAAAGCACATAACAAATCTGCTTCATGTTCATTTGGAAAGAAACTCTTGTACTTTCCTTATATCAGATTATGAAGTTAACAGTTGTAGCAAAATATTTGATATGGTTATTGTAAAGAATTTGTTTACATTAATGAATTAAGAGCTAGAATCATGAAAGTAACTGATTTAGATACTATCATAAGCCCAAAGTATTTATTTATTTTCAAAGTAATTAAATATTTCAATGTTGCAAAAAGATTACCAAATTAACTAATTTACAGATAAAGTTTTCCAACTTCTTAAAATTGTTCTCTATTTGGAAAATAAAAACATGACAGTACAATGAAAGTGGAGGAGACTGGACAGAACTTTGCCCTATTCCTAAACATAGTATCTATATTCCATGTCTATGAATATTGCATTTGGGAACTGAAATGTTGATAGTTATAGAAAGACTTAAGGCCCTTTGTTCATAGGGTCACAACTTTTTGTTCATAGGGTCACTGTGAGTTGTGGTCAACTCAAAGGCAGTCAACAACAACAACAACATTGGTAGACAGATTTTTACATGGTAAGATTTTTGTTACTAATTTTGTTTTAATTCAATGTAATGCCTTTGTAAACATGCTCCTATATATTTCCACAAGATTATGTAACATGGCATACAAAAACAAACATTTTTGAAAAGATAGTTACATACATAGTTTCAGTGCAGGATTTCTTTATATTTGAATTTAAAACTATTCTTTCAAATTGTACTATCATATTTTAGGCTTAGGAATGTTAGACTGGGGGCATACAGCGATAATGGCTTTAGAGTAGATTAGAAAGTTTGAGTGTAACATTTCTCTAACAATTACTTTCATCCTTCATTTTAACAGATCATTTGGCTTAGAAGACACAGTCAACTATTTCTCATAAGAATTGAACCAGTACTATAAAATAGTTTTGTACTCAATTTTTAAAATAACAAGGGTTAACCTAAAATTTCAATGATGTAGATTATTTATTATAAAAATTTGAAAAATCACATACAGAGATTTCAAGGACAATTGATATAATGCAAATCAAATTTATTTGACTTTTTCTATTGTCTAGATAGAAATGTATTAATAAATTGCTGAATAATAAGCTATCAGAGACATTCTTATTTACTAATGGAAAAATTATTTTGAGGACTTTTTTGGGTGTGTGGGCGTGGTTTTTTTTTAAGTGTAAGGAAAGTGATATCCATAGTGATTTGTGAATGGGAATCTCAGATTATTTGTATTTTTAATTAGATGTCAGCAAACATGAAGAATACTGTATGTTTCTACTATAAAATTAACATATATATATGTTAATATTATATGTGGTTCTAAAAGATGAAGTTATGAGCTACTATTTTATAAAATGAATCTGATTCTTTTAAAAATAATTTATGCATAAATGGAACTGTAGTATAACTTGAAGGCTCATTAATATTTTGAAATTTTGTAAAAACCTATTTGCAGATCATTATTTATTAAAGATACTTTCAGTGTATGTTATAGTTTCAATTCAAATATGAAAATGGGATTTAAATATTTAGTAAATTATGTCAATGTATATTAAAGTCAAATATAAAGTAAAATTCTGTTACTTTTCAGTGTTCTGAAATATGCATATTTTAGATACTTTTACTCATAAACTCATTTCTACTACTCATGAAAATTTCTAGCATTCCTAACCAACACATCCTTTAAGAAGCTTATTGTACAGTTCATTAACACTAGCTTAATTTGGAATATGTGCAAACAAAATAACTGTATAGTTTCAATTTGTAAATAGGTGTGCACTTTTTAAAATAACCACGAAGGGTAGCCTCGTATTAATTCATTAACAAAGTTATTTATCAGATGGTAGAGATTTTGAATAGTATATTTTATAATTGAGATTAATCAAGTTCATTTTGATTAACATTTTAAATCTAAGGTAAAAAATATTTAAAAATAAATTCTTGACCAATAAATATATTTTACCTATAAAGATACACATATCGTAGCTATCCACATACTTGCAAAAGTCATGCTTTACAACATTACAACTACAGGATATTTTTTTGCTCTTTTTAAATCCAGAGTCAAAGAAGGTTTTACTTCTAAAGGTCC